TCTTCAGCTGACTATGTACAGTGCAGAAAAAAAATCTCTCCCTTTGAATTTCTGTCTATGAGAAATGTTCATCCCCATTTTGGTCATGCTTAGGAAAAACCTCTGGAGCTCAGTTTACCTTCGGTGGAAGTGTGTAAGGAATACATTTATCTATATATATTTTACATAGGAATTATATTGTGTGGCTAGCAATAGTAGGAAACATAAGAGTAGCGCAGGGGGAAAGATGCTTATTTTCCCTCTGGCTAATTTACCCTGACCTCCTCACCATCCCCACTGTCTCTTCATCTGACTGGAAGAGTTAAACTCATGTGAAAATCAGTAACTGATCCAGTCAGTCTGCATCCTCTAAAGTGCATACTGCAAGTTCAGGGAAAAGCCTTCAATATACTTCAGTGATGAATGACTTTACTACCCATTTTGCTAGTGACAGGCCAGTTCTTGGCACGTGCAGCATTTGGGCTTCTAACTCCTTTTGCAGAATTTCACATAGATTTTTACTTTAATTTTTAGCCAACAGCCAGCACCTGATGCTGTGCCCTAGTCAGCTGGGCCCTAGATTTCTGCTCCACTCATCTACACTCTTCGGTGGAGCAGATAACAAGCCTGTAGGTCACACTTCCATGAAGATTACACCTACTCCATGCTGTAGAAAAGGGCTTTCAATTCCACATAACATGCGGATGAGAACCAGGCTTCAGAGATTAGCATTGCCTGTGGGTAATGGCATGGAGAAGGGGCACTGCAGCTTCCATACCTAAAGCTGACCATGGCCGGAGGGAAGGAAAGGCTTACCAGACCTCAGTGGTACTATTCTGCTTCACTCCTCCCTGGGCTCCATGTGATTGCTCTATGGAGCTCACATGGAGAAGACACGCATGCTTGCTTCCCACAGCTTGGTGAAGCTCTCCTGGGAGCAGAAATGAAATGCAGTGCTGTATTATCTTCCCTGGAGAGCCACTGTATTGGCGGTGATCACCTTGGATTCAGTGCAGCCAGATTGCTAGGGTTCTGGGGCTGAGATCAGAAGTACAAGGGCTTTATGAGGACCTCCTCATGGCTTCCTAGCAATCCAGAAGTGCTCTGGCAGGCCCTGCAGCTAATTTAAGCAATAATCGTTGCATAAAGGATCTTGGGGCTGGTGAGTGGCATAAGGTGAGGGAATCTCCATCTAGGCAAGTTGGAGAAATGTCGTTCTCTTCAAGTCCTTCCTCCCAGGGATTTAACCATACGGTGTGCTCCAAACAGAAGTAGAACATGATGTTCTTTGGGGTGAGCTCAGTTATATTGGCTTTGGCTTGAGGTCGGCCAAAATCTGGGCCAAAGTGGTGTTACCCATTTTGCACCTTGGAGCAGAGGTTTTCTTGAGAGGACAGTGAAAAAACCGGAGCATAGCCCACTGGTTAAGCTGTACCATTGCAGTAAACCCACATACTTATTTCTCTAGTGTAGATGCAGCCTTCGGGAATTAGTTTCTTTGCTGCTCTTTTAATATTGTTGCCATCCACAGCAGATCAATGCTAACACTTGTGTTGTTTAAGTCATGGGATCTGAGAAACATGGTTACATTTGATTACTTGGCATGTGATTAATGAAAGGGGGCTCTGGCCATTGTTAACAGATGGAAGGTTGCTACTCTGCACATCTAAAATCTCTACAAAATAATAATAATAATAATGTGCTGAGCAAAGGGGATTTTACCTTCCTGCTTGGAAAAACAAAATGTTACATTAGCACCGGATGAAAGATTTTCTTTTTTTTTTTTTTTTATTTTAAAACCTCTGTAAAATCAGAGCAATGGGTCATTCCAGCATTCAGCCAATTTAATTAGCAATCTCGGAGTAATCATGGTAATGTGCCAAATCAGCAAAGATGTCATTGGGGTTCTTGCAGTTCAGGTTGCAAAAGCAAGCGTTGATCCACATGATTTTCCAGGAAAACCCAGTTCCGCCTGGGCACTCAAAACTCACTTCAATGGTCTTTGACTTGTAGGGTGTGCAACACCTGTCGTCTGTGCAGACCCCACAGTATTTTGGTCTGTATGTTTTTTTGCTCACGCAGCCTGAAATGGTGTAGTTCATCGGTTCATCAGCTCTATAGACAGCCAAGCATTTCTTCCCAGGCTAGATCAGGGTGGGAGGGCAGAAAGAGAGATAAAGATTAAATTCTTTGTTCATGAATCTTAATTGTCTTTTTCTATCTGCCTTAGCTACCTTCTTCCAAGCACTAACACTTCCTTTATGTTAGCAGTAAATCCTGTCAGAAATGTAAATGTAAATGGTGAAAAACAATGACATTTCTGACTCGCTTCCATTTCTTAGGATTCAAAATGGGATTCGTTTGCATTTATTTTTATAGAATATATTTCCAATTCTTTTTTAGTTTTGAAATGTCATTCCCTCCCATTCTCCTTTTCTATCACTGAGTGCAATAACATGAATAAATAATATCCAAGGTTAGTATTTTTCCTTTTTTTCCCCCTCAGTTTGTTTAATGTCCAAGTTCAACTTTGCAAAACTTCCCCAACTTTGGCAAAGTCATCAAGTGGCAGACTTTTCTTTTTCCCTTTGTCATTTAATCTTCTTTTTTTCCAAGGTGATCAGGTTGGCTGAAGAGTTGGAGCAGGAAAAGATGAGTTAAAAAAAAATCCAACCAACCTGTGGACGTAATTCATTTTGGAGGAACAAAGCATGTGTTCAAAATTTTGAAAACTAAACTCAGTCAAATCTAAAAAAAAAGTTTCACTTAATAACACTTCCCTATCAAAAATTGTAGGAAAAAAATATTAAAATGTTGTTTTTCCATGACGCATTCAATTTCTGATAAAAACACAATGGAAAACCTTCAACCAGCTGTAATTAGCAGTTCTCATCTGTTTTATTAGGTTAGCATTGTTACACCACATTTCAGCCCAGCTTGAAGGTCCAGAACAAATGTGTATGTGCCACTTAAACGTTACTTACAGCTTAATTTCAAGCTATGAGGACAGGTATCAGCAGAAAGATTGCGCGGCTTTGGCCATGCTTCTCAGTAAAACACAAGCTCATTTTTGTTTTGAACCAATGTAAGACCCCCAAATCTTGCCATCCTGAATTATTCACCAAATGACAAATTTAGCCTGAAGGCATGGACCATTTACCATTTGCATTGTGGATTCAAGAATCAAACTGATTCTTCAGGGAGGAAAGGAAGAAACTTCTCAAAAGAAAGCTGGTCTCACCACTGACCAGGGAAAAATATTCAAAGTTCACTTTTGTTGGAAGATTGACCTCATTCACACAAATCAAAGCAAATGCAACCCCCCTCCCCTCCCTTTAATTTTCAGGACTTTGAATGTCATCAGTCATAGACTACTTTACACATCCCTCATTTGGAAGGTCACATGGATTTATGCACCTGGAAATGTACTTCCCCCATCCCTCCCTGGTTGCAGGCGGAAAGTTTCCACAGTTATAGCTACATAGAAAGATGCCTCGCAGCTTCCCATCAGGCTTTTTGTTAGCTGAGTTATGGGCGAATCTGAACTAGTGATTGGCACAGGCGCCTATGCTGCTGTCACTTCCAGGGGCTCCTGAGTGGCTTTAAGCAATCCTCCCACAATGGGAGTTGTTCATATCCAGGATATGAATAGAGTTGCTGGTGGTATGTGGAGACATGCTGACCTACCCCCCCCTCAGCCAGAATGCATTTAGGTCAAAGCATGCATTTGCTAATCATGGCATTCCCATCACTTTTGTTTGCAAAAGGTCACCATCACGCTTTCCAAAGGGCAGCCCTCCCAGGGCGCGCACACAGCATGTTTTTGGCCAATCAGTGACCTGGAAGAGAAGCTGGGAAGTGGTCCTACCTTAATGTGTTTGGTTATATCCGCTTCACACGGCCGCAAGTTGCAGAGGCGACTTTCTTTCATGAGCTGGCACTGCGGGTTATCATTGGAAATTCTTGTTGCTATCCCCAGCCCGCAGGTCTTCGAGCAGGGGCTCCAGGACGAGGTGTGAACAATGCAGTTCTTCTGCCAGGATTCATTCTCTCCCGCGTAAGCTATGGAACAGATTAACATTCATTACTCATTGGGACAGGTTTCTACACACATGTCCCTTCTAGGTCTCGCTCTATAGTTAGGCCAATAAACCAATGAATAATTGCATTGAATGGACATAGCATCCATGGGGCCGGATGCAATGCATCCAAAGGTGCTGAGGGAATTGGCTGATGTGATTGCAGAGCCATTGGCCATTATCTTAGAAAACTCGTGGCAAAAGGGGGAGGTCCCAGACTACTGGAAAAGGACAAATATAATGCCCATTTTTAAAAATGGGAAGAAGGAGGATCCAGGAAACTACAGACCAGTCAGCCTCATCTCAGTCCCCAGAAAAATCATGGAGCAGATTCTCAAAGAATCCATTTCTAAGCACTTGGAGGAGAAGAAGGTGATTAGGAACAGTCAGCACGGATTCACCAAGAGCAAGTCATGCTTGACCAACCTCATTGCCTTCTATGATGAGATGACTGGCTCCATGGATATAGGGAAAGCAGTGGACATACTATACCTTGACTTTACCAAGGCTTTTGATACCATCTCCCACAGCGTTCTTGCAAGCAAGCTGAGGAAGTCTGGGTTGGATGAATGGACTGCAAGGTGGATAGAAAGCTGGCTGGATTGTTGGGCTCAGTGAGTAGTAATCAATGGCTCAATGTCTAGCTGGCAGTCAGTATCAAGTGGAGTGCCCCAGAGGTCGGTCCTGGGACCGGTTTTGTTCAGTATCTTCTTTAATGATCTGGAAGATGGGATGGGTTGCATCCTTAGCAAGTTTCTGGATGACACCAAGCTGGGAGGAGTAGTAGATACACTGGAGGTTAGGGCTAGGGTTCAGGGTGACAAATTGGAGGATTGGGCCAAAATAAAGCTCATGCGATTCAGCAAGGACAAGTGGAAAGTGCAAAACAATCCCATGCACTGCTACCGCCCAGGGACTGACTGGCTGGGCAGTAGCTCCGCAGAAAAGGACCTGAGGGTTACAGTGGACAATAAGCTGAATATGAGCCAGCAGTGTGCCCTTGCTGTGAAGAAGCCTAGCAGCATACTGGGCAGCATTAGTAGGGGCATTGCCACCATATCGAGGGAAGTAATTATTCTGCTTTCTTCTGCACTGGTGAGGCCACATCTGTAGTACTGTGTCCAGTTTTGGGCCCCTCACTACAGAAAGGATGTGGACAAATTGGAGAGAGTCCAGCAGAGGGCAACAAAAATGGTTCGGGGGCTGGGGCACATGGCTTATAAGGAAAGGCTGAGGGAACTGGGTTTATTTAGTCTGCAGAAGAGAAGATGGACGGGGGATTTAATAGCAGCCTTCTACTACCTGAAGGTGGGGATTCAAAAGAGGATGGAGATGGACTGTTCTCAATGGTGGCAGATGACAGAACAAGCAACAAACAGTCTTAAGTTGCAGCAAGGGAAGTTTAGATTGGATAAAACACTGGAAGAGGTTACCCAGAGAGGTTGTGGACTCTCCATCCTTGGAGGTTTTTAAGACCCAGTTAGACAAAGCCTTGGCTGGGATGATATAGATGGGGATGGCCCTGCGATGAGCAGGGGGTTGGACTAGATGACCTTCTGAGGTCCCTTCCAACCCGAATTTTCTGATGCTTTGATTCTAGTCATAGACAAGTAGAGCTGGAAGGGACCTTGAGAAGTCATCTAGTTGAACCTCTGCCTGAGTCAGGATCATCCTTATCCAGACCATCCTATACAAATCCATTTTCTAGCCTCTTAGCAAATCTACACTGTCAACCCTGACACAACAGAAGACATAACACCCTAATCTGCCACTGGTAAAGCAGGGGGGCCACAGCAGCCAAAGTCCTGCTGCTGCAAAGGTTGTTAATATACCCTCAAGGCCCAAGAAGAGGTCCACATTCTGCTTGACTCTGCTTTTCTACTAAACTCAAGTTTTGTCTCCCCCTCATCTCCACACAGTGTCCTTACTGAGACCTAATTGATGGTCTCTGTGGGGCAGGGACTGTCTCTATAGCACCTAGCACAGTGGGCCCCCTTCTTTGTTCTGGCTCCCAGATGCAACCATACATGAATAATTGAAGCTGCCAATGCAGGACAGAGATGAGACTGGAACCATTGGAGATGGTTTAGATACCGCTGATCCTGCTTTAAACAGGAGATGGCTTAGATGGCGTTCTGAGCGCCCTTCTAGCCCTGTTTTTCTATGAAGTTTAATTTTTCTGCTGATTTATGATTGATAGTCCATGACTGATGATTTCATGGCTAAGGGATCTAGTATGCAGTTAGAGTCTTTCATCTGTAGACAGGGGAGGACACATCGGCACACTGGATTGGAAGGGGCCTGCAGCCCATCAGGCCCTTTCCCTGACTTGGCAGACAACCATTTGTCCAAAAGACACACAGGAGCACCTATTCTGGTTCCTCTTGCATACCGCAGCTGGAGAAGACCTTATTCAAAAAAGCCCTGTGTCGCACACAAAATAAAAAGCAAAAGAGATGGGAGCACTGCCAGTGCACTGGGCATGGCGGTGATTAGCCCACTAGGAGCCACTCAGAACCAGGCTGCTCTCAACTTGTAATGCATTCACACACTGTAGTGCAGGCTCCCGCAAACAGATACTGAGGGACGGTCCCTACCCTGAAGGATGTCTATTCTAGATAGACAAGACAGCCAAAGGAAGTATTATTGCCTCTATTTTACAGGTGGAGAACTGGGCCGCAGAGATTAAGGCCCAGCTCCTCCAAGAAAACCAAAGTAAGTTAGACATCTAGGTTTCTTGGAGGATCTGAGTCTATGGGACTTGCCCAGAGTTATACAAGGATCTGGAGTTAAGAACTGAACACCAATTGCTTGAACCCGAGTGCAGGGCCTCACCTCTGCTTTGGACTGTTTGAAGATGATGAAGGATGGTCCAGGGATCAGGGCACCAAGACTTGGGAACACTGAATTCAAGTGCCTCCCTCACCTGACATCCAACAACACTGAGTGAATCGCTGCTCTGGCCTCAGTCCCTTTGTGTACTATCATGATAATACAATTTCCCCTCCTCACTGAGCTTCCATGAGCATGAATACACATTAAAACATACATGTTGTACTGGGGAGGGTTGTGGTGGGGGGGCATATAAGTACGTACGTAAGGGGGTAGTGTACCGTCCATGCCCTCAGGTAAACAGGGATGATACAGTGTACCTGAATTCCACCTTTACGTTGAAATACTCCAGATGCTGCATAGAGCAGATCTCACAGAAATGGTGACGTTGGGGTATGCAGTGACACAAGAGTGGTCTGAAATGTTCTTTGAACTAGAAGGGGGCTCAGGATGGCATAGGTCAGCTCCAACCTGTCTCCAACTTTGGGGCTGCTCAGATTCAGGGTGACAGAAGCCAGCCAGAAAGCCTCCATCCCAGTCCAGCTTATCTCAAAATTCAAGGCTGTCTGGCTTCAGTTTGGGCCCCTATCTACTTTGGATGACCAGCCCAGAATGGGACAAAAGCAAAGTTAATGGGACAAAAGCAAAGTTCCCCCATGCTAAAAGCTATTCTTTTTAGAGAAGCCTTTGCCCACCTAGCTCTGACTGATGAAAGTGTCAGCAGCACCTAAGCATTTTGGATAAAGCTATCCAGCATCTCTGTGGATGGGCTTGAACGTATCTATGATGGGCACTGCTGTATAACGCACACTGAGACTTCTCTATGGCTGAGCCACATGGAGTAGGAGTCTGCTACAGCAGCCAGGTAGGCTACCAGATGCTGGAGTGGAGACCCACGACTCAGGTTTTAAGGTTCCCTGGGTTCAATTCCCAGCTCTAGCCAAGTCAATGCTTGCTCCGTAGGTGCTATACCTGCAGAGGAGATGTGTCGTGGAGACGTCTTCCTGATCCTCCTGGAGTCGTCGCAGATCCACTGCTCGCAGCACTTGCCTGCCATCTTAATTTGCTTTGGGTTCGGGCACCAGACGAGCGGGGGGCGCGAATTTACACACATCGGGATACAGCCCACAGCCCCATTAATGCACGTGCAGTTGTACTTGCAGTTGGGCTGGAAGGAATCTCCGTTCCTGTACCTGATGCCATTGAGGACACAACCCACCCCTGCAATTTCTACAACAAGATGAGAAAGAGAGAGAAGGCGATTAAAATAGCAAACAGTTACAAGTGACCAATCTCTTTAAAGGAGCATTCTCCAGCCTGACTGGACCAGCGTTTAAAGGTGCCAGCATCACACGATCAATGCAGATAGGGAAAATTTGAGGCCTTATGCTCAGAGCTGAGTGAAACTCAAGAGTTTTGCAGGAAATGCTTCCCTTAACAGATCCTGTTTCCATTTTGAATTTAAAAAAATGAAAACAGATATTGTCAAGTATTTAGGTTCCCAATAACATTCCTTGTTTTGAAATGGGATTTTAAATATTTTTAACATTTTTATACTTCTCTTTCTCACACAACGTCATGAACTGTGAGGAGGAACGGTACTTAACATGACATATCGTATCTTTTGGGGGTCACGTGATGATGCACTGTAATGTGTCACCTTGCCAGCAAAGTGCAACAGTTCGATTATTATATATTTTTTAACATTAAACGGTTGACCAGGTTCATCCCCACACAAGCAGGAAGCGCTTGGATGTAGAGACTAAAAGAAAATGCTTTGTACTTCACTACAGAACAGCTTTCCCATTTTGCAGAACTGGCTCTGATGCGGCAGTAAGCCTGTGACATGAAGGCTGCGGTTTCATAGCCCGTCACAGAGAGGCAGCACGCTCACGTTACTACTGTTAGGTTTCAGTGTTGGTTAAAGACAGGGCTGAGTCAGAGCCTGCTTTAGCTGGGCAATCAGTGGAAACGTTGGCTTCTAACACTGGAACGGCCTCTTCTCTTTCTAATGAATTGAACAAACCTCCCAAGTTGAATGGCCTTCCTGCTGATAAATTGGAGCAGCTTGCACTCCAAACAGAGAATTAAATTTCCATGGCCTGTGCCCATCTGCAATTCTGACCTTGTGTCTTGTCTTTGGTTTTGTCACACTGGGCAGGCATCTCCAGGGATGGATCCAAAGCGGGTGCAGTGGCACGGTCACACCTCCCTTTTCGACTGTATTGGGGTGGGGGGCATAGCAGCCAGGCGCTTGTTTTAAGGGCCCAAGGCAGGTAGGAATCCTGCCCTGTCATGTCTACTCCACAGCTTGCAGGTTAGGGCACTCTCCTGGGATTTAGGTGGCATGAGTTCAAATCCCCTGAATCTGGGAAGGAGAAGGGGACTAGATCTCAGCTGTTCAATGTCCTGGGCAAGTGCTCTAACCATTAGGCATTTTACAGAAGATCAAGATGTTGCTGCTATCTGCTGCCTACCTGCTCAGGTTTGGAGTCCTAAGACGGGTGTGACTTCTGCAGCCAGGAGCAAAAGGGATTCTGGGCAGACAGAGGCATCTTAACGCAGGTTAAAAGTCCCCTTGGAATGACTGGAGACTCACGTCCCTCCTGCAGAACTAAGGATGGGTCTCTGGGGGTGTCTAAGTGCTGTCTATTGAAAGTATCAGTGTGCCTTTACACAGGCAAAGAAGAACGTCTCCCTGATCCTGGCTGTGTACATAAGGACTTTGCCAGGAGCTGCACCGCAGTCACTGAATAGATGAAGCAGGATTTGGCCCCAAGCGCACTCAGTCCTCTGAGTCCTCAGCCCTCTCCAGGGTCAGGACTCAAAAGCGTGGGCTGAGACCTTCCAAACAGGGGAGCGAGGAGTGAAGGGACTGCAAAGGCCTCACAAGAACCAGCTTCTTTGGTCGGGAGATTCCCCAACCCCTTTTGCCCCTGCAAGGCCAGCCTGGGGATCCCATGCAAGAGCAAGACCATCCCCCTCAAAAGGCAGGAGGGAAGGAGTTAGGCCACAAGCTCACTCCTTTCTCCTGACCGTTCTCTCCTTGGGACCACGCTGCCAGGGATAAGCAGAGTCCCACTCACAGCACAGGTTTCCAAGCAGGCATTTAAAGCCTTCAGAGCCAGCTGTGTGGACCTGCTGCCTAGAGATCCTCTTCCTGCATCCTCCTCCCACCAGCCAGTCACCAGAGCAGCAGCTGCTGTTCAGGCACTTGCAAATCCAAGGGCAGGATTATGCCTTCAGGTTGCTGTTTCCTTCTTGCCCTTTGCAACCGCCGGCTCATGGAGCAAGAACCCTCCGAGCCACTTCTCAGCTACCCAATGGGTCTGAACCGACAGAGAGGTCTGGTGGGGGCTGGCGGCCTCACAGCTAATGATCTGAATAAATCAGTCTCCGTTTAGACCGATGGGAGGTGCCAGTGCTGGAAAACAAAGTCAAAAATATATGTACAACACTTACGTGCACACACTCCTATTTCGTACCTAGGTCTGTCTCCGCTGTAGTCACAGTACAAGCCCCTGTGAAAGTCACAGGTATCGGCCTCGGTGCAGTTCTCCCCGACCTGCTTGGCACACACCTTGCAGCATTCACAGCCATCGGAGACCAGGCTAACCCCTCTGGGACAGCGAGGTGGCAACTTCGGGCACTCACACGGCCACTTGCAATACTGAGTCCGCGTATAAGCCTCTGTCACAGTGGAGGTGGTGGGGGGCATGGTGGTGGAGGGCTGGGAAACGGCCTGCAGGCAAACAGAGGAACAAGGTTTGCAGTGCCTTCAGGAAAGGCTTTGAAATCTGCACTGACTGGCCAGGAACCAACCCCTTCATGATGAGAACAGAAGGCTAACTCCAAAGTACTGTCGCCCATTCAAAGAGTACCACGTCCCTTTGATGGTACAACCTCCCTCCCCAGCCAGGGGGGAAAGGACAGCACTTGGGGTCAGCCTTGCTCCACTGATGCTCAGCCATTGCCAGCCTGGGACATGTCCTCTCTCCAGTGGACTCATTCCCCGTTTAGTAGCTAGGGAAGTAGGAAAAAAATGTCCAGGCCAGAAATCCCCAGCCTATCCACATTGTCTGAAACTCAAGAGCCGGCTATGCTGAGCAGGGCACGCAAAAATTGCCTCGTCTTGTATCGCAACACGTTTGCTTGCTTGCACCGCTGATCAGAACCAGAAAGGGATGGGGAAACAGCTGCCTTTATCAGCAGCCGCAGGTATCCAGACAGTTAGCTCCTATTTTATCAAGCTGGTTCACCCCTCCCTAGTGAACGTTTCTCAGCTCCTCCCACCCCCACAGCCAGGCAACACTCAAACCCCCAGGTTCCCAGATCCTAGCAGCCTGATTTCACTTCCGTGGTACTTTGGTGTTGGTTAACCTCAACAAATGCATACTTACTCTCAGCAAAATGTGATTGAGACCCGTATCTACCCTTTTCCATATCAAAAACACGATCTACACAGCAAACATGCCCCCTTGGGAGCTAGAGCATAATGATGTGGCTATCACAACTGTATGTCCATTGGTGATAAGCTCTTAATGTTCCCACACTGAACAGTTCTTGCAATACTGCCTTTCTTGCTCTCTCTCACTCTTTTGACTTAAGGTCCAGAATTTGCTGGGGGGACAAGAAAGCAGGGACCTGCTACCTCAGCCTCTTGGCACATTGCAGTACCCTGCAAATGGTTCCTGTGAGAGCTGCAAGTCTGATGGATGAAAATGAATATTTAACCCTTCTAACAGCCAGCCTGAGGTTGGACACATCAGCTTTCTCGCATAGGAAAGAAACGATGGCAGAGAAGAGGTGAATAGAATATCTTAAGGCTACTCCAATAAGTACATCGTACTGTCTCCTTACAACACTGTATTCATGTGCCACCAAGCTGCAATGTGACGTGATCGTTTAAATATGAGGCAGGGCTTCCAGTCACTAAATGTCTTCAATCTAATCTGTGAAAAGGTGGAAGATTACTGCCCTGATACCTAAGGCCGAATCCGCAAAGAGTTCACAACAAAAGGTTTGTGCTGTAAAATTGAACTTTGAAAGAGTGATCATCTATGGTCCATCCTGGCCCACTCTTTTATAGCCATTTTATGACAAGTAGGCTGCATCTGATATTCTCTGTCACTGGAAACCTGTAATCACAATGATCTCTCCTTGAGCTTTCTTCTCTATAGAGAACCAGTTCTGCTGCACAGCATGTAGTAGTTTACAGCTGAACTGTCACAGGATGGATGTATTGAACCATTGGCAACTTTGCCTAACATTTCCATATTCCAGCCATCCCGCTGGATAAGAAAGTCTGTACCTTTGGGCTATGCTTTGTCACTTGGCATGGCTCCAGGGCTTGCTGGCTGTAGCAGGTTGCCATCACAAGCAATTTATTGGTGTCTGCCTGCCCAGGTCTCTTCTGTTTCACTGCCACCTGCTGCAATTTTGCACAAACTTCTCCCAGAGATGGACAAATGCAATGGCTCTGGGGTGCCCAGCGGCATCTAAGCTCAGCCACTCGTGCCGCTCCACATGCACCTTCTAAGCAGCTCCACATGCATGGTGCAGGCACAAGAGCACTTGGGCCTGGAAACCAAGCGCCTGTACTTGTCTAGCATAATCCCTGCCCAAGCAGTCTTCAAAGACCGGACCTCCAACAACCTCTCAAGAAAGACTCTCCGCCAGCCTAACACCTCTTTACTAGGGTCTTTTCTGTTGGAGTCGAACCAAAACTTCCCTCACATTGCATTACTTCATGTGGGCCACCCTATGCTATTTCAGCCCATCCTTGGCCAAGTCTTTGACTGTTTCCGAAGGGTTGCTTGCTAGCAATCTCAGGATTCATTAACAGTCTTGTAAACCTATTACAGAAACATGTGAATTTATATTTAACTACCTTTACCGACAGCTCTAGAAGGTTAAACTTACCACTAACCATTATCAGTATTTGCAATATTTGCTACAATTCCCATTTCCCTTTCAGGCCAGCCTTACATTATATTTAAACCCATATGAAATATAATTTATTCCCAGTTTAAGGCCACTGTAAGGCCCCTAAGCACAAACAAAAGAAAGCAAACCCTTTATTTTTAACATCATTCATTTCAACTCCCATGATTTTGTTATGTGCGGCAAGCTGTTGCCTAGTGAGAGAAAGCTCCTTCAAATGAGATCAGTCTCTTTGCATGACCGTTCATCATTAGAAGTATTTTAATGACCAACTCTAGCTACAAAACCCAGTTATGCAGCTATTTAATGAGTCCATTATTGCAGCATAGCTCTATAAAGCAAATGGATTTGCAATGACTGTTGCCAAGTTATTGCTGATCTGGACAGGAGCAAGTGAGCTGGTTGGCTGAAAAAGCTTTCATCCTCTGTAGAGATACAGCTACAGAACAAGATCAATATGTTGCAAAAGGGGGAAAAATCACAACCTCCCTCTGCATTTGATTCTAGTTCATAGGACTCAATAGTTATGGTTTGCTACACACCTACTGTCACGGAGCACAGCACTTTTGGGAGAAACTCTGCCTTGGGACTTATCAAGAAGGAGCCTTATTTAGACTCCTTCTCCTAAAGGACCCCCTTAAGTCAGCCTTGACATGGCTTCACAAAGGGCAAGCCTCTGGCTTTGAGATCCTGACTCTTCTCTGTCCCCAGCTTCCCTGAACCACTGGTTGTTCAGTTTTTAAAAGAGGGAGGGATGTGACCAATAAAGCTAAGTGGTGGGAAACGCTTTGGGGGCTCAGTGGGAGGAAGGACAGAGGGAACTATGGTGCACAGTCAAGACTGTTTGGAGCGGAGCTGTCTACTGTGCTATTTGGGACATTGGCGCCCTGCCCTCCCCTTTGAAGAAGAAAACACCAGACTTCACACGTACTGCCAGACATCCCTCAGCTTTGTTACCCTATTTTGATTTAAACAAAAAAAATAAATAAATAAACCACAACATTATTGGCTACACGGGGTTTCAGGTATTATGTTGTTCGAGTGCCAGTACATCCCCTGTTCAAAGGATTGTGTTGCAGAGAGATTCAAAGACAGAGATGTAGGCTTACTACAAACTCTCCAAGTGCCGAGACTTGGTCAAGTATACTTTTGAAGGGCAAAAAGCAATTTCTGCTGTGGAATCATCCCCTCCCCACCACCAAGTTTCACTAATTAACCTGTTTTGTATGATTACTCCCAAATGTCTTAGCCTGGGACTTTGTCAACTTGGTTGCAGACTAAAAAGTAATTGCTAATTATTTATGAGGTCTAATCCTCTGTCTTCTGGATTGCCAGCCTGTGTTCCTGCACTGAAAACAAGGCCCTTCTTGCTTGGTAAAACAAAGCATTTGAGCCTGGTAATTCTGTCTCAGTCACTCAAGAGTTGTATTTGGCAGGCTCCAAAAGGGTCTGCCGTTTGCACTTGTGGAGGGTAATATATCTCCACCAAACAAAAGCCAGCTATTTTCCGTGTTTGCATTTCTATGAGGAGGGAAAAGAGAAAATAACAAGTGACAGTCTTGGTCATAACCCCAGTATTAATAACAGCCCTGCGTTTTTGTGCAAATCTTACAGACATCAGGTGGAGGGCAATGGTTCAGGGGTGTTTCTTACATACTGGCAATGTTTTTTACCAGTTCCCTGGGAAGCACTGTTATTGTAAGTCTGTTTTATTTTTGAAACCCGACAAGTCCAAGTAATGGTACTGAAACTGCGGAATAGCTTGGCTTTCAAACCTGAAGCAGAAATGCTAGTGTGTTTGCATACAGAATAGAGAGGCACCTCCCAGCTTCAGTTTTTTGGTTATCCAAGTCCCAGTGTCCAGAAACTGGGATGTAGGTGGTCCTGCCTAATGGTTAGACACCCAAAGCATGGATGCAGCTCCAGCTGGTTCCCCAGGCAGCTGGGAGTGTAGAGGGGCCTGGCATTAGCACTGGATTTGGGAGCCATAGCCAAAGTCAAAGCAGCTAGGAGCAGAAGCTGTAGACAGAGACTGGGTAAACTAGGATCACAAACCAAAAGCCAAAACTGAAGGTTGAACAAGAATCAAGAGCTGAGAAACTATGAAACCACGATCAGGGAACAGTGAGGGTCAGTCCACAGGCCAGATCAGACCTGCAGACTGGCCCTGTTCATGGCGTGCATGCAGTGAGCAGGCCGGATTGGCCCCACAGACCACATGTAGCACATGCGTCGTGCGCTGTGTGCAGCACAAGCCGGATCCAGACCAATCCAGCACACGGGGCCATTTTGGCACACACTGCATGTGGCATGCAGGTCCACAGGCTACATCGGGGTGGGCAAAATGCAGCCTGTGGGCCAGATGCAGCCCGCCAGGCCATTCTATCTGGCCCGCGGGGGCCTCTAAAAAGTTTAGAAAATTAATATTTATCTGCCCTTGGCTGCCTGTCATGTGGTCCTCGATGGCTTGCCAAAACTCAGTAAGCGGCCCCCCGCACAAAATAATTGCTCATCCCTGTGCTAGATGATAGGGCTTAGTAGGCTAGATCTGGTCTGCAGGCCACATCTCTGACACCCTGGCTTAACCCAAACCCTGGGATATGTGGGAGACGGGGGTGATATAAACTGTCAGTCATATTAACAAGGAAGGGCTCTGTAGATAAAGAACATGAATACACTTAATAAGTCAAATCTTAAGATAGTTTTAAATTGGGTAGCTCCAAGTATCTCATCCTCTGTGTGTAGCACCTGTACAGATGTCTTTAATCCAGCCCTGTAGCACAGCCAGGAAGAAGACAG